CAGTTTCCTTTTCTCTAAAACGCCCTTACTGCCCGGCGAGGTGGCACATGCCTGTAATCCCAGCACTCGGGAGGCTGAGGCAGGAAGACTGTTGCAAGTTCGAGACCAGCCTGGGCTACAAAGTGAGCTCCAGGCCAGCCTGAACTGCATAATGAGACCCTGTCTCAAAAAGACCAAAAAAAAAAAAAAAAAAAAAAAAAAAAGCCCCTACTGAGGAGGTCTATGAACTGGTCTGCTGCAGGTCTCTCTCCTGGGCTAAGTTGGAAATACAAGTTGGAAATGACGTTCCTAACCTGACGTTGGAGAAAAGATTTCTTTCCCACAGTAAGGGAGGGGGACGGGGAGAAGCGAGTGAAAAGGGCTCGCCTGCACCGAAGACCCACGCGCTGCCCTGGGTTCAATGCCCAGTACCCCAAGAAACAAAACACTACCACAAAACGATGGAAACGTCTCCACAGAAGCTCTCACATTCATACTCACAGCAGTACTATTCGTAATAGTCAGGAAGTAGAAACAGCACCGCGTGTGGACGAGCTGCTGTTTGCGGAGTAAGCTGGGGTTGGGTCAGTAAGCGGTGGAATATTACTCCGCAGTGACAAAGAAATAAGGGCGACGCTCAGTGCAGCGCGGCACAGGCACAGGCGCGAGGCCCCAGATTGGGTCTTCCGCACGGAAGAAAGAAGACACGAACTGAAAGGGTGGTGCAGGGAGAGCCTTACAAACACTACTGTAAACACAAGACGCCAGACGCACTCACAGATGGCGGGACGCCGCCTGCGTGAAAGGTCCAGAAGAGGCTATCGGGGTAGCGCAGTCATTGATTACTCCGCTGCGGGAGAAAGAGCTGGGGAGGGACTACTAATGTGTAGGGGGGATCTGGGAGGGTAGAATGTTCTCACCTTGGTTGTGACGATGACTACACTGGGACTGGGCTTAAACCACTGAATTACACAAGAGTTCTTTGCAGTACTGGCGAAGCCTCCGCACCATACCTAGTCCCCCGCCCCCTGTTGTTTGTTTGTTTGTTTTCTTTTGTTTTTCTCCGCCCCAGAAAGTCTCCTACTTGCCCAAACTGTCCTGGGTGTGATCCTCCCTCCTGCTTCAGCCTTCCAAAGCCAGTGGTGGTGGCGGCGCACCCCTGTGATCCCAGCACTCTGGGAGGCTGAGGCAGGAGGATTGATGACAGCCTAGCCTGGGAAATTTAGCAACTTGGTAAGGGAGAACCTATCTTAAAATAAAAAATGAAAAAAGGGCCGAGAATGTAGCTCTGTAGAAAGGCCTTGGGTTCAAATCACAATACCAAAAAGAGAAGCGGGGGAGTGTGTGCATTCCATCAAGCCTTTCACGCTATATCCCGCCCCCCAGCGCCCGCCTTCTCCGTCTGTGAGAAGCCTCACCGCTGACCAGGGTGCCTCACCAGCCTGCACCGGACGCAGCACCTTCTCCCCAAGCGGCTCCAGATCACAACCAAGCCGGTGCCTACAGCTCCAGACACGAGACTTCACCTAACACTGATCTGGGCTGAGGTCTGCAGATGCCCAGGAGCGTGTGTGCTCCCGCTCCCGCTCCCTGCCCCCCACACACACACACAGACACACACCCGAGGTCTGGCACCTCAGGCCTCTGCACACACTGGGCTAGGAAATCACCTGTGACGCTGTCACCGTCACACCTTCCTTTCACATCCCCTCTCCCCACCACAGCCGGCCTCAGCGTCTTTCGCTCACGTCCCCTTAAGGCCATGCGAGAGAATCCGCACAGAAAGCCGTGGTGAAGAACAGGGTCCCCGAGCGAGTACATGAACCACATATGCTAATTTCAAAAATAAACACAAGTGAGCCGGTATTTACTAAGAAGCAGAAATCAGTAGATTGAATTACTCCCACTTTTACACAAAAGTAATCTTACAAAAATAGCCGTGTTACCAGGCATGGCTGCGCATACCTATAATCCCTGCTTTACTCAGGAGG